ATATATATATATAACTCCATGAGTTTCCTTATTTTCTTAATAATTAACTCTCAAACAAGAATAAATATTTTTCTTCAAGTAATGAAAAGAAGGAAGGTTTTGGTAGACATCACATAATTCCTATGTACTTAATTACATTTCTAACGCCGAAATTTTAATTTTTACAACTATACCTCTTTAAAAATGTTTGAAAAGGTATCCTCCATTTTTTAAATGTTATTTATAGTAGTATTTTTTTATGTGATATGAAATATTTGAGTCTTGTAAATACAAAATAATAATAATAATAATAATAATAATAATAATAATAATAATAATAATAATAATAATAATAATAATAATAATAATAATAATAATAATAATAATAATAATAATAATAATAATAATAATAATAATAAGGTATTATGTATGTAAATTAAAAGAAATGTGTGGTTTTTATGTAAATTGTCCTAAAAATAAAATAATTTTTTTGAGACAAATCTATTTTTAAAATAAAAATATATTATTATTTTGGAATTTGTGAATTTTTTTTCCTTCTTTATGGATTGTTTATATTTAACTATATAATATTAAAATAAATGATCATCTAAAAAGAACAAACATTATCAATAGATAGCCCACCACTTGGACACTTCTATAATTAGTAGAATGTAATTTTCACTTTTACATTACAAAAATAACCAAAATAAGGAGAGATCTTGACATCAATATATTTTTGCAAACTTAAAACATATATATATACTCTTTTTTAATTGAGTGATATGTTGATACAGGGATGCATATATATATATATATATTGACAAGAGTACTAAATGAGTGTCACCATAAGCAATATTTGAACTTCTGCACTTCATACTACCTACCTCTCAAATTTTGGATGGCCAAAACAACATAGTATACATGTGTATATATATAGGCACACAATATGCTATTCTTGTTTGCCATCTAAATTACTTTAATATCCACATCATCTAAGAAGAAACCTTGAAGGACTTCAGTGCATGGCGACCTCCTGCCAATATCGGGTGTACTTGCCACACAAAAGCACACTCTTATGTCAAGAGACGAATAGAACCTTGCAATTTGAATGATAATTTTGATAATAAAAGAATAATCTTGATAATTTTTAATCTATTAAAATTTGTTACACTTTCATTTAAAATCAACTAAATTCTTTTCTTTTAAAGTGGGGCCCACACTTTAAATTGAATATCTTGAGATAGAGCCCACCTTGTTCAATACCAAGTTAAAAAGTGTGTTATCCTCGCTTTTCTGAGCCAAACCAACTAAGGTCAAATTTTTGTCCATGGCCACCTCCAACCACTCATAAACCAGTTGCCACTTTGAAGTGAAATATCTTGAGATAGAGGTCACCTCAATGAAAACCAATTTCACAATTAGATTTTTTGACTTCTTCTCTTTCAGACGAGCCATGATTGTAATTTTGGTCATAACCATCTCCAACCACTCCCCAAAACCCCTCATTCCGTCTCATTTCTCCTTTTGGTCGACACGCCTCCCTCCTCTCTCTCCCACTCCTTCCCCACTTAGATTTTGAGCCAATTTCGAGCCGCACTTAAGTTGAGCCAATTCATTTGAATTTCAATATAAAGAGCCATGGGCTAATTTCAAGCCGTGTTAAATCTATTTGAGCTTACTCCAGCTCAACTCAAAATTAAATCATTAACCACCCTAGGAACTAGAAGATCTAATTAATCATGATAATAAAGTTACTCTTTTTATTAATGGTTTACACTAACATAAGTAATACATGACCTACATATGCATTCATTTCTATTTGATTTTTTGTTTATGATTACTTTCACACACCCTTAATCATTACATTGCACAAATTTAAGGTTCCAAGTATTTTTAAACAATAAACATACTTCAACTATTTTATAAATACTAATAGTATGATTATCTTACTTCACTATATTTTAAATGCAAGTTTCTACTGACCAAGTCCTTTACAAATTTAAAATTTAGAACTTTAAACTAAATCAACAGGGCAATTTGACAGCAGAATTATAAAAAACATCAGGCTCTGCTACCTGAACTTCACAGCAAACAACATAAACTCTCAAAAAAGCACAACAGTAGTCAGAACTTACAGAAACTTGCTTCAACTTCTAGTAATTGGGCAAGCTAAAAAAATTCATTTGCTACTTCAAAAAGCTGCTTAAATGAACCAAACAATTGTTTTAAGAAATCCAATCTTTCAGAAGCAGATAATACTCTACCTTAACAAAGACACAAAATAGAGCTTGCTCAGAATCTGGATTCAAATGAGAAAAGAACAAATTATAAACACTAAATGACAATGGCCATTTTATAAGAATAAACACATTTATGTTCCCATGAATTGATTGAGAAACTTATCTTGCATTTGGAACATAAAAGCCCCTAAAAAGAAAGACTTACTGTTTGGGCACAATGCTTTCTGGCTTCCAAATTGCAATCTAAATAAATGTACAATGGTGTGGAGATTAGCCGGATACTCATGAATTAGAATCAGAAAAAAAAAAGAAAAAAAAGAAGGATTAAACAGCCTTCTCAGTTCCCACTATCACTTTCCCTGTAAACTTGGCCTTTCTGCTCCTGCCATGATGCTCCATCTACTAATTTTCTTTCCTCTTTGGTCCAGAAGAGACACCTCAGAAGCAAAAAAGGGAAGCTGAAGATCTTTTCAGAGAAGATCAGCAACTGATGCAAGGAAACATGAAATATGTTATCAAAACAATTGCTTCAACCGTTTGGCTGAGAAGGCTGATCAGTCGCCGGAACATGTTGAATGCTTTCGAAACCAATTGGAGATTGAAGAAGCGGACTCCAGCGATCGAAGATGATTCGCCCTCCTCGACCAATCCTGCCATGGAAACGGTAACTTGGTTTCGAACCATTTTCAACTGGTGAAGGCGCCGGCGGAACAATGCTTGCAGCAGCCAATCTGTCTGGATCTAGAGGTCTTGTGAATAGCAGAACAGGCTCATGTGGGTCCTGCATCAGTGCAATATTCAGAACACAGTAGATTGAATGTCCGTTTGGTTTTCTTAGAAAAGCAAGTCTATTGTAAAAATAGTCCTTTATTTTACATAATTGCTTCATGATATAGTTTGGGAGTGAAGTTAAAAATAAGATAGAAGATAATAATTTTGGTAATGTTTTAAAAACAAGCCAATTTAGATATAGCTTAATATTTTAATTAAATACTTTTTTAAATTGTTATTTTCTATAAATAAGCATGTAAAGTTAACCTAATGTCATCCATAAAGATTGATTTATCTTTCCATATGAAATAAAATGAGAAGTTTCATATGTTGTTTCGCATAAATTTATTATTTTTTAAAATAGATAAAAGAGAATATTAGTTTAGATTACTGGACTATTCACTCGGATTTAAACAATCTTATTAGGGTGATAGAGATGTTAATAAGTTGACTAAAGAATAGGGTAGCATTTAATAATTATAAAAAATTGACTAAATTTGTCCCACTATACTGATAATAATAATCCCAAAAGATTAACATTATTAGAGAAGAAATCGGCATCTTCTTTTGATAAATTCACCATAAGCATATGTTAACAATGATTTTAGGACTCAAGTTGGTTATCAATTTTGGCATACCCTCTTGTAAGACCATCTGTGTGGCAAAGCCCGTCCTCGTTTCATGTGACCCCTGGGAATCACTACAATCTTGGGCTCCGCAAAGGGTGAACGTTGTGTTGCTCTCGCTCGGGGACGGCCTGTTCTCGCATCATCTGAGTCTATATAATCATCCTCACTTGACCCAAACTTTTGCGAATTTGAGTGAAAACCAGGCATTGCTATTCCATCATCGACAAGTTGTGCTTCATGCTGGAAAAAGTATAGGAGTAAGAAATTAAAAAGGAAGAAAAACATTGTGACCAAGAAATTCCACAATAAGTAAATAAACTAAGAGTTCATTCGGGGCACCTTTTTCGTAGCTTTGTTATTCAAAAACATGCTCAATGTTGTTTAGTTATATCTTTCTTTGTACTTTTGGTAAAAATTTATAGGTGAAAAGCAACCTTTTATGCTCAGATATATTATTGTGGAACGAATCTGTGGAATGAATCTTTGAGTACAAAAATATTTCACGGGACAAGAGTGAAATTAACTATCATTAAATTAACGAAGAGTGTTCCTCTATGGTGAAAGAATTTGAAACATTTATACCAACATAAAAGAAAGAAAAATAGTGATATGGTCAAAGATGAAGATGGAGATAGAACACAACTCCCAGAACACTATAAAACATGATATGTTTGTTATTTGTATTCTTCACCAATTACAACAAAATGACTAAGTAGTAGAGTACATTGTTGAGTTTAAACAAGTCATGTTCAAGTGTGGGTTGGTAAAGCCAGAGAAGGATATCATAGCCTGATACATTAAATGAATTGACACTTTCTATCGGTAATGTGATGCAATTGCAACTCTATTGGAATTTATAAGATGTACAAACATTACCCTAAAGGTGGAGAAAAAACACAATAACATCAAATCCGCTCAAAACATCAAACAAGGCTAGATCATATGGTCTAGCAATAAAAGTACACTAACCAGAGTATTAAAATAAAATTTGTCTCACGTAAATAGAAGTTAGAACAAAAGAGCAAAAATTGACTAGGAAAATACATTAACTAAGATTTTTTAAGCTAAAAAGGATTTCAAGTGTCATGAATATAGACATATTGTCTCTATATGTCCAAAAAAGAGTGATTTCTTTAACTGAGGATGAAATGAAAAAAAGAGAAAAGTGAAGTCTTTAAAAATAAAGAGAATGGGGATGAGTACCAACTTCATGACCAACCATAGGAAAGAGTAGCAAATGTTTAGATGTAACATCTTTCGTACCTTTCATGCTATGAAGGGGAATGTGCACAATCTCATTATGAATGGAGACAATTATGAGATGATGTCTACCCAGAAAGTGAATAAATTGAGTCTCACTGTCCAAAAGCATGCTCAATCATATTTCTTAACATGGTTGAAGAAAGAGAATGAGATCGGTATTGATAAAAAGTGTTTGGTACAATTTTCCATTGAAAATAAGCTCTAAGAGTAGGTGCTTTTGTGAAATTGTGCCAATAGATACATGTCATATTCTATTGAGATGAATGTATTATGGCAAGGGTACACTTCATGATGGCCACAAAATATCTCATTTATAAAAAATGAGAAGCATGTTATACTTTTACCCTTGAATGAATCGGCAGTGAGGAATATTCATACAAAGATGGAAACTGTAATGCCTCACACTACATTTCTACACACCATAAGAGAGGTGCCACTAAAATTGGCATTGGTGATGTTGAAATGTAGCCTTTGGTGGAGCTTCATAATACTTTGAATGATAACCTACCATTTGAACTATCATCCATACAAGAGATTCAACATGACATAGATCTCATCCTATTAGTACTCTCTAACAGATAAGCACAATGCCACTAGTGGAGTAAGAGAAATTGTAGAAATGTTTTGAAGATCTTATGGCCAAGGAACTAGTTCGTGATAGTACCAACTGATGTGTTTTAGTAGCCTTAATTATGTCTAAGAAAGAGGGATCGTGAAATATGAGCATTCATAGCAGAGCAATGAATAAGATCATTATAAGAAAGAGGGATCATGAAATATGAGCATTCATAGAATAGCAATGAATAAAATCATTATAAAATAATAATTCTCCACTCCCTGATTGAATGAATTTTTAGATTAGTTGCATTTACGCAGTGGCTACCATTAGACTCGGACACGACATGTGGATAAGTGAAGGATTGCTTCAAGACATGGGATGAATTGTAACAGCGAACAGTTATGCCTTTTAGTCTATCCAACACCCCGAGCACCTTTAAGCAGCTGATAAATTAATTTTTTGAGATTTCACCAGAAAATTTGTGGTTGTGTACTTCAATGACATTTTGATGTATGTATGTATGTGGTGGATTACTTACATCACTTACAATAGGTCTTTGAAGTTCTTTAGGCGGAGCAACTGTATAACAATATGAAGTGTCACTTTCTGACACCAAAGACAATTTCTTAGATATATTATTTTAGTAGCTGACATTGAAATGGACCCAACAAAGATAGAAGCAATAGTGAATTGACCAAAGCCTACAGTCTTTCACCCAGGTGCACCAGTTCCATGAATTGACTAATTTTATGGGAGTTTCATCAGAAATTTTGGATCTATAACAACAACACTAATAGAGCTCCTAAAGGAGACAAAATTGCATGGTCAAAAGTAGCACATGTTAGAATTGATGCTTTTAAGGAGCATTTTACTCAAACTTTTGTCTTAGCTCTTCTAGATTTTAATCAAAAGTTTAAGATTGAGTCTGATGCTTCCAAGATCAACATTAGAGCTATGTTGAGTCAGAGAGGACAAACACCCCATCACCTTCTTTAGTGAGAAACTAAATGAATTAAAGTAAAGATATTCAACCTATAATAAAGACGTTTTTTGTCATTTTGAGAACTCTCAACCATTTGAGTCATTATTTATTAGCTAATCAGTTCATTCTCGATATCGATCATGGAGCTTAGAGATTCTTGAATAGATTGAGTAAGTTGAGCATAAACATGCCTCCAAAGTTGAGTTTCTCTCTTCTTTACATTTTTTTTTTACTTAAGCACAAAACAAGAAGCTAAAACATGGTAGTTGATGCCCTAAGTCATCACTGCCTATTACTTGCTACTATGCCATCAAAGATGGTTGACTTTGAGGTGTTGAATGAGTTATATGCCAGTGTACGGATTTTCAAGAGATTTTAGCTCATTATCAAGAAAGACCTTATAAGAAATATCACAAATTCGATGGTTATTTGTTCTTCCAGAACAAGCTATGCAGTCCTAGGAGTTCACTTAACGAAAGCATATTGGTAGAGATAAGACTTTCTGTAGAGAAGGTCTAGGTTTGCCCCGGACATGGAAAGACGTACAAGATATATCATTTGGCTAAGACTCATGGGAAAAATATAGGTACTTATACTCTTCCTATGCAAGAGTCACATTGGGTAATGCGAGCATGAATTTCATTATGGTCCTTTCTCAGGCCTAAGAAAATAAGGACTTTGTTATGTTGATAGTAGACCACTTCTGCAAAATGATCAATTTTATGCATTGTCATAAGATGAAAACTTCACACATTACCAACATATATTTCAGAATGATAGCACATCTTCATGGTATGCTCAGAACTATCACTCCAGACAATAATATCCAATTTCGGAGTCATTTTTGAAAGGTTTTCACTTTAGAAGTGTAGACATTGGGGCAAACCAATTGGCATCGAGGAGAGTACTTATACTTACACTTTTGGGCAATCGAGGTAAAACTTAAAAATGGTATATGCAATTGATGAATATATATATAAACAACATATATTTCAGGATGATAGCCCATCTTCATGGTATGCTCAGAACTATCACTCCCGACAGCAATATCCAATTTCGGAGTCATTTTTGAAAGGTTTTATGGGGCAACTAAGTACAAAACTCTAATTAAGTTCAATAGCGCACCTGCAGAATGATGGACACACCAAAGATGGTGAGTCATAGTTTAGGTAACCTCCTTAAAATTGTGTGGACAAGAACATGGTGCAATGGCATTTGATCTTTAAGTTTGAGATGCTTATAATACGTGCACCCGACAATTCTTAAGCCACAATTCCTTTGAGTTCATATACAATCAATGTCTTCTCTACTTTGGAGCTAGTGCCTCTACTTCTAGTTTCTGAGTTTAGCACGGATACAAACCTACAACAATAACAACAACAAAGCCTTTATCCCACTACGTGGAGTCGGCTACAAGAATCCTTTTTTTTTCATTGTATCCTATTGAGTGTCATACTTTCATTTAATTCTATAGATTAAGATCATTTTTTTATACAATATGCCCAAGTCTTTTTAATGCACTAGTCATTTTAGGACTACCTCTAACTTTCTTACCAAAAGTCAAATCTAAAGCATCTACTCTCCTAACAAGATCATTAGACGGTTGACATTTAATGTGACCAAACCATCTAAGACGACTCTCTCTAATCTTGTCTACCACTAGAGCTAAACCAACCCTTTCACGGATATATTCGTTTCACATTTTGTCTCTAAGTGTAAAGCCACTCATCCACCTAAGCATTCTCATGTCAACAGCACTTAACTTAGTTTTATGCTTCTCTTTTATATACCAACGTTCTGCACCATAAAGCATTGCAGGTCTCACTAAAATTTTATAAATTTTCCTTTAAGTCTAAATGATACTTTTCTATCACACAAATAGGCCCGATGCATTCCTCCACTTCAACCATCCAATTTGAATTCCTACTAATAGCATCCCCACCTATATCACCATCACTTTAAACAATAGACCTGAGATATCTAAAACGTTCACTCCATATAAAGACTTGATCACCCATTGTCACAACAGCGCCACTAGATCTACTACTACTAAAATTATATTCCATGTATTCAATTTTATATTTACTCGAATGAACACCTTTAGACTCTAAAGTTAACTTCCATGATTCAAGTTTTTCCTAGGCTCTTTCTCTAGTCTTATCCATCATAAAAATATCATCAGCAAAAACATACACCAAGGCACATCCTCCAGTAAATGTCTAGCAAGAACATCCATAGCTAAAACAAATAGATATGGACTTAAAGTTGGTCACTGATGTAATCTAGCTGACATAAGAAAATAAATAGTTAATTCTTCTTCTATTCGGAAACAAGTAACAATTCTAGTATACATATCTTTAATGACTTGAATATAAGTCATATCAACACCTTTCTTTTTTAAAACTCTAAACTCTCCAAAAAAACTCTCCAAAGTAT